AACCACTCTCTGTCCTGAGGGCTTGACCCATTGTCTATTACAATTGACAGACAAGAGTCTTTTTTTTTTTTTTTAATTTTTTTTTCAGACAAGAGTCTTGTTGAGTGAATGAATAGATAGCTGAGGAGGGAAGGGACCTATCTTTAAATGAACCCCTATGTTTCGGGGGCTGAGCTAACACTTTATTTCCATCACTTCATTTAGTTGACGGGGAGGTAGGTACAGTGGCTCTCATTTTACAGATGAGAAAACCGAGGCCCAAAAAGGTACTGTCTCATACCCAGAGTCACACATCAACCAAGATTCAGGGCCACATTTCACAAACAGATATTTCTTTTCTGCCCATGTATTTTCCACCACTCCACCCAGCCACCCTGTTCAGGCAGGTTATCTGGGCTTAGGTCCCAACCCTATATTCTTCCTGATACTATCTTATAAAATTCAGTCCGTTTGCTCATCTAGAATTCTGAGAATGAGGTATCGAACCTTGAGCAGTGGACAGGTACAGAGTACTTCATTCCACCAGTCTCTAAGCAGTTGTGCTTCAGGCTAAGTTGATTCAGTCAAACTCTGTGCAAGGCCATGGACCATAACACGCCAGGTTCCTCTGTCCATGGGGATTCTCCAGGCAGGAATACTGGAGTGGGTTGCCAGGTCCTCCTCCAGGGGGATTTACCCAAACCAGGGACTGAACCCATGTCTCTTTCGTCTCCTGCAACGCTAGTCAGGTTCTTTACCACTAGCAATTGGGGTGGACTATAAGTGCCTGGGTACCATGGCGATGCAAGTCCTATAAATACCCACGAGAGGCTTCTTTCAGCCAGCCTGTTGGTTATTGCGCTTGCACCCCCACTCCTGTTTCCCACCAGGGCTCCTCTTCAGAGGTTGGGGTGGGGGTGGAGGAAAGCACTGCTTTGCAGGAACTCCGTCCCTCTGTTCACACTCTTTCTTTCTCCTCTCCACACCCCCGCCCTTGAAACTGAGATTTCATCTCCACCTCCTCCTATGGTGTATAATTCATTTTCTCATTGGTGAAAGACACAACAGCTCCCAGCCCTCAGAACGCAGAGGCCTCTGGGAAGGGAGAGTGGAAACCTCTCCTGGCGGCCCCAGGATAACCTCCCATTGGGAAGAAATCCAGTTCAGCTAATGAATGAAGCAGCAAGATAAAGGCAGGGAGGTAGGGAGGCAGGCTGCATAGGGAGAAAAGTGCCCCTCCTTCCACGGAGACAGCGCCTCTGTTAAAACCCCAGCTATCTAAACCCCAGGTGGGTCTTGTTGACACATTGCTGGAGGCTGAGAACCAGGTTGGTCTGTCTTCAGCTTGGAATTCAGAGCCCCCACCTCAACTCTGCCCTTTCATTGTAAACTCAGCTATGACCTCAGGGTGCCCTCTCCCACCTCCAACAGATATGCAATCTGAGTGAAAGCAGAGACTAGTAGTCTCCTGGCTGCTCTCTGCCCCCTTCCAACTAGACTGTTTATAACCTTATTCTGGAGCACACACCACCCTGAGTTCAGAAGTAAAAACTCAACTGGGAGGAACTGAGTTGGACTCTTGGCTCTATTATTTACCGTGTCACTAGAGGAAAGTCACTTCGCCTCTCGAGTCTCAGTTTACACATCTGTAAAATGGGACTAATAAGAAATCAAGGCAATGAGTTAGTATTCAAAGACACTCCATCAATCTGTAAAATGAATCGACTGTGCTAGACTTATTTTGATGTATTTTCAAGCTATTCAACACTGAAGTGTGTGCTCAGTCACTTCAGTCATGTCTGATTCTTTGCAACCCCATGGACTGTAGCCCACCAGGCTCCTTTGGCCATGCGATAGAATACTGGAATGGGTTGTCATTTCCTTCTCTGGGGGATCTTCCCAACCCAGGAATCGAACCCATATCTCTTGCATCTCCTGCAGTGGCAGGCAGGTTCTTAACCAACTGCGCCAACTGGGAAGCCTTAAACACTGAAGACCTAGAGATAAATAGGTCTCTATTTATCTCTACTTCTGTCTCAGCTCTCATATTGCCAAGGTTTCCTGCACCCTAATTTTCCCTGGCTTACAACTTGTTTTCCCATTATTGAAAGAAAATAGTTCATGGGCCCAATTATGAATCGCACATAATGCATGACTAAAGAAAGGGCACATTATCGGCTCCATCACAGAAATGCAACTGTGCATCCCGCAGGGTGCGTAGGAGGGAGAGCATGATGTAGGGAGAACAGTCATGGAGTCAGAAAAAAAAAAATCTCCGCAGAGGTTTCTTCCATTTCCTTGAAGAATGTCGATGCTAACAGGAAAGTACTGCTGGCATTTCTGCTCCTTTGTTTTTTTTTTCCTAAGCTAATTTCTTCTCCTTACCGTCTTCATAAAATATGTTACCCGGCCGCTCTGAAATTCTCTGAAATGAGTGTGTGTTCTTCTTTGCTGCTGCAGTGGGGGAAAGGATTTTAGTGGGTGTCTTAAAAAAACAAAACAACAACAACAAAAAGACCATCTGTTTTAGGCTCAGGTGTGTCCAACGGGCAGCCTGGCTGTGAAAGCAAACCAAGAGAGGGTTATCCTGTGGTCACTTCTGCTTGGCTCCAGCAACTGACTGTGCCTCCAACTTCCTGGGCAGGCTCACACAGCCCCAGGAGGAAGGCTGGGCTTCTCGTCTTCGCTTCAGATGCCTGCAGTTCATTCACCTGTAGAATAATGTCCAATTCGCCCTATCACGTGGCTGAGCTGGTTTTTACCTTTAATCCCTTTCACGTTTGTCCTCAGCCTCAAAGAATGCCTGGGGATGATTCACCCACCATCACATGGGGCAGACAGTCATCTGTTTTATTACCTCACCCTTCTTGCAGCTTCTGAGAGATAACCTGGGATTCTTCGGTTCTGGGTCGGGGGTCGGGGGGAGGGTGGGGGAGGGCAGATAGAGGTAAGGCAGACAGAGGAAGGCTTTCAGGAGTCCATTCCTGCTCCGGTCTCGATTTCCTACTTTCCAGCTCAGGTCAAAAGATCTGCAGGAACAAGTCATGTGGAAACTCCAGGGCTTGGGCAAGAAAGTTGGATTTGGAGGTCTAAAAGGGGTTTTCCCTTCACTACCAACATCAGCCGTGGGAAGTCTTGGTTGCAAAACAAGACAGAAAATGAAAGCAGGAATTAGGAAGATTGTCAAACACACACACACACACACAATTTTCAAGAAGGGAAAGGACATGGGCTTGTGTTTGGCACAGAAAATACTTCAGTGTCACATGAGTACATGGTGTTCTGTATGTACCCCAAGGAGAACCCTGAGATGATGGCGTACTGTGAAGTGTCAAGCCCCCTGCATTTCTGATCTGTAGCCCTTACAACAAGCCCTACAGAGTCTATATGATTATGGTGTCTTGCAGACCTAAGACTGAAAATTTGATCAAGTTACTCAAGGTCACACAGTTAGAAAAGAGGGAGGGTTTAAGACCCAAACAGACTGATTCCAGAGCTTTAGATTTTCAGTCAAATAATGACGAAGCAAGCATCCAAAGAGACAAACAGTCATCAGCATCTGTAATATTCCAGATCCAGACCCTGGGTAGGATCAGGAGTTTCAGAGTAATTAAATAGAAAGAAAGAATAGGTTAATGGTGGAGAGCATGAGTACTGAAGTCAGACCTAGGTTCACTTATTAGCTTTGTATCCCTGGTCAACAATATAGCATCTTGGAGCCTCGGCTTTCTCATCAGTGAAATGGGTATAATAAGTAGTATTCCTTATTCCAGAGTGGTGGTGTGAGCTTACGTGCGATCATGCTTGTGAAGCAGCTAGCACCATGTTGGCTTTAATTCTGAGCTATTGCCTCATCGGGGCTTCCCTGGTGGCTCAGATGGTAAAGCCTGCAATGTGGGAGACCTAAGTTCGATCCCTGGGTTGGGAAGATCCCCTGGAGAAGGAAATGGCAACCCAATCCAGTTCTCTTGCCTGGAAAATTCCATGGATGGAGGAGCCTGGTAGGCTACAGTCCATGACGTTGCAAAGAGTCGGACACAACTGAGTGATCTCATGCACGCACGCATACATTGCCCTCATCACTAACGGGAGTATTTTGCACCCAGTGGCATGCATGCATTGCCCTCATCATTAATGGTAGTATTTTACACCCAGTGAAGTTGAGGAGTGAGTTGTAGAGGGCAGTGGGAATCTCCCCAGAAGTAGGAGGGTGAACTCCTACTTCTAGGTACTCTGAGGCCAGCCTGAGGTCTGTGTTTCTGGACTTTTGTGCATGGCATCTATGGAATGAGGGAGGGAGGGAAAGGTCAAATACTGAGCCCATGGGCCTGGCCTTAGGGAAGTAACTGGCTTAGCAGAAGGCATTTGGAGGTAAGAAGCTGCCAGGTCTCCTGTACCAAGATCAGAGGAGACCACAAACGTGGGATTCTCCCCTGTGTTTGGCATGCTGGCCCACAACAGCACAGGACGCTGGCTCCTCTGGGAGGCTGTGGGACCCAGACGAAGGATCCAGCAGGCTGGGCTTCATCCCTCCAGTCCAGCTCCCTGCTATACATCCAGGGCTAAAAAAAAAAAGAGAGAGAGAGAGAAAACAGCTAAAGACATTCAGGAGACACAGACAGCTGATTCTTAACTGTAATTAAATAATTACAAATTTTTAATTTCTCAAGAAATATTGATTTTTAACATTTCTCATTTTTTCAACATGGAATTTTGCTTTGTTTGCTTCCTTTTTTATAACCCCTACGCCCCCAAAGCCATGACAGATCAACTAATATCTCGAAGAAGGCAGGAGAGGCTGCCTACGACAGGTTACCTATTCAATTTAACGAACAACAACATCATTACTATTACAAAGTGTCTCCCCGACACCCACTGGAGGTCTTTGGGGTTTGGGGGTGGGAGATGCCTAGCACTCCTCATTTTAGGGACCCAGGGAAGAGCCAGTTACACTTGCAAGTAAGAGAGGTGGGGGGATGGGTGAAACAACGCGCGGAAAGAATAGAATAAGAGGGAGACAGATGGTGTGTGTGTTGGGGGAAGGGATCAGAGATCCTGGAAAACTTATGTTCCCCGATTTGCAAGAATGTTTCCATTTAACCACTTCTTGTCTGACTCCTGATTCTACAAGAGAAGCCGGGAGTTATAAGATTGGGGACACCTGTGCCAAGAGCCCGGCCACTCGGGGTGGAGACAGCCCGGAGCGCCGGGAAGCCGAGGCAGAACGGGGCTGGCTCGCGCCTCCCGGGGCCCCAGCCTGGGTCCGGGACCCAGGTAAAGGGCGGGCTCCCATTCCTCCCGGCAGAAGCCGCGAAGGGGCGGCCGGCGGTTGGGACTGTCCCACGAGGGGGCGCGTCTCGGGCCCTAGGACCCGCCCTCGCGGCGCTGGGCGCGGGGAGGGGACGCGGGAACCCTGGCGCCCGGCGCTCCGCCTCCAGTTTCCGGGACAGCGCGATTACCTGCACGGCCCGAGCCGCACCTGGCGCAGGCAGGAGTCGCAAACCGAGCGAGCGCTGAACGGCGGAGGGAGAGCGGGGACAGCACCCGGCTTGGGGGAGCGAGAGGCGGCGGCGGCGGCGGCGTGGAGGCTGCAGGGCGCCGCGCGCCGCGGAGGAGGACAGGCGGCAGCTGCGCTCGGCTCGCTCTGCCCCGCCGGCCGGGCGCGCACCCGGGCCCGCACCGCGCCGCTGCGGGCGCACATGGCAGCGTGAGAGGCCGGCGGCGGGAGGAGCGGGAGGCGCCGGGCCGGGGCCGCAGGGCCGCATGGACAGCGCCGCCACCCCGGCCGGCCCTCACTAGGGGCCCCCAGTCCGCGGACGCCACCTTCCCTCCCCACCACCCCGATCATGGTGCCTCGGCGGCCGCCCGAGCCGAAAGGAACCGGCCAGAGCCGCTGAGCCGGGGGGCCCCCGTGGCGGCCGGGAGCTGCATGGGGGAGCGCGGGCCGTGCTCGAGAAGATGCCCCGGCCGGAGCTGCCCCTGCCGGAGGGCTGGGAGGAGGCGCGCGACTTCGACGGCAAGGTCTACTACATAGACCACACGAGCCGCACCACCAGCTGGATCGACCCGCGGGACAGGTAGGATCCCGTGTGGGCCGCCCACCCCGCTCCTGCCCCAGGGGCCGCCAGCCGGGACGTGGCGGAGGACCCCGGGGAGCTCTGCGAGCCTCTTGCGCTGTCTTCAGGGTACCCCCCACCCCCCGTGCCCTTCCGGATCGCCGGCTCCTGCCGGGTGAGCTGCTGGGAGGAGGGGTCGGCCGGTGAGTTGGTCCAGGCTACCCTCTCACCCCACGCCATCCTCTGAGGGAGGACTCAGCCCCCCGCCGGCACCTGCCGGGAGTTTTGACCTTAAGCTCTAGCCCCGCCTCCCGCCGTCCCCCCTCCCCCTTAGTTAGGTCGGGCGGGGGTTGGGGGAGCTATCTAGCCGAGTGATGCTGGGGCTTCCCGGGGAGGCTTTCCCCAGCACAGGGTGGGGTGGGGTGGGGGGGAGAAGCGGGGGATGGGAAAGCATCTGGTTTGGAGGGGGTGGTAGGCACCCAGGACTCAAAGGGAGGCTGCTGGAGGAAGGACACTGCGTGCTGGGGAAGGCAGCCCGGAGTGTGATTTTTGACAGGTGCCTCCCAGGCTCGGAGTGATGGGGCGCAGCGGCATTCCGGGGGCCGGGAGGCCGACTGTGGGAAGGAGAGGAAGGAGCGGGGGAGGGCTGATCGGGGAGACTGGTTCTCCAGGAATCTCACGGCAACTTGGAAGCTGTTAGGATGTAGATGGAGGTGAGAGGCCGCCGCAAAGCCCTGCCCATCGCCTCTTCTCCTCCCCGCCTTCCTCTCCTCTGAGGACCGGGGTTCCTCAATCCTGCACCAGCGCATCCTGACCTTGGTGGGCCCCACGCCGGCTGGAGCACCGGATTTTTTTTTTTTTTTTTTTTTTTTTGCTGAGGCAGGTGGAGTATGAGATGGCTGGTGTGGCTCTTAGCATCCAGACTTTCTCCTGGTTTTGACTGCTTGGCATTTTTTTCTTTTGCACAGCACCCTCTCTCCTTGAATATCTTGGGGGCGGGGTGTCGAGGACCCCCATCTGGGACGGCTGGTTGTCCTTTTCTGTCATCTCTGTGGTCAGTGTCCCAGGAATGTGGAATTTTCACCTGGTAATTGTGACCTTGAGTGTCAGGTGCTTGTAAAGCAATGAAGTTGAATTGTTTGGCTGCTTCATCTTGTGGGGTGGGAATGGAGGTTCCAGAAGTCTAGGATGGGGTGTGTAATCAAGATGAGAGTTGAGAAAAAGAAAAAGCAAGAAAGAAAATGTGAGCTGAGATTGCTCATAGTTTCTGTGAGCACTTTGGTTCATTCATTCAACACGGACTGGGTGTCGCCTCTAAGTTCAGTACTGTGCTGAATGTCTCATCAATTTAATCTGAAAGAGACATTTTTAATGCTGAAGAGCTCAGTGTCCCATGGGTAAGCTGTTTAACCTCTGAGCCTCAATTTGCCTGTTTGTCAGACAAATGATTTGCTTGGAAGGGAAAGGGTAATAGTGGAACTCTTGAAAGTGGAAGGGATATGGACAATCAGGGCCCAGCTCCCATTTTCAAACATGAGACAAAGTTTGGGACCCGGAGGTGGGATGTGCTTGGGGGTTTTGACCTTCTCACCACCACTCTGCCTTTTGCCAAATTCTTTACCAGCTCTGAAGTTCTCACCTCCACAGTCCCTTGTCCTCGCCTAAAACAGACACAAGTTCAAGTTTGTATGTCTTCCTCCATTTAGATCCCCGCCGCTACGGAGTCCAGTGTGCTGTCAGCAGTTGAATGTCGAGGGCATTGCTAACTCACCCCAGGTCCTGTATCTGGGAACTTCTCTCGGGCACGGAGAGGATAACACAGCTGCAGAAAGCTGCTTAAGCAGCGGTCATTCTTTACCCTTGGAAGAGGGCACTCAGCATAGCTTCCATGGAAAACTGACTTGGCTACGGCATAATTTCCCAAGTTTCAGTATTATGTAGACCACCTTTTTTGCTATATCACTTGTGTTATTGCTGACTTAATACTTGACATTGAATCTACCCAATCTGATTCTTTTTAGCCACTTTTGCAAATGGGAAACTAGCAATATCTATTGCTTCAAAGAGAAAGGAACCTTTAAAAAGTACAGTGCTGGAGGGGGGGGGGAGTGCCTTTCTATTTGAATTCACTCCCATGGCCAGTCCATGGCCCCAGCAACAGGCCTCCGCAGCCTATGTTTTTAGGCACATTGGCAAGCAATGGAGAGGAATTAAAAATGTAACTGGTGCTTAAGGAACTGCTCACCAGCTGTTCACTGGTTTTACGCTGTGCCTTTGTATCTCCGGTCAGCCCACCTGCACTGGCCTGGAGTGGGGCCCCTGATCTTGAGATGCTGAGGGTTTCTGAGCTCACTCTTGCAAGTGAGCCTTGCAAGAGCTCACTCTTGAATATTTGGGGAAACAGCTGAACAGAGGGCATCCACCTCTGCCTCCCTGGAATTCCCTCCCGCACACCCCAGAAGGGAGGTCGACCTTCTCACCCTATCTGTGTGACCTCAGGCAAATCTCCTGACCTCTCTGAGGTGCAAGCGCTTCTTTAGTGAGAGATGAAAGTTGATGAGATGGTCTCTAAGGCCCCCTGCCAGTTCTCAGATATGATCTCATGGTTTGGCCTCACCTTATCCCCCCTGATTCCATGGCAGAATTGGGAGGAGGGCAGTAGGCAGAAAGGTGAGGGAGCTGTAAGGAGGAGGAAAAAAATTGAGGAAAGCTAAAGAAAGAGCCAGACTCTTTGGGGTGGTGGGGTCTGGGGCGGGGTGGGGGGCATAAATTCTGCCAGGGTGGTTGCATCTCTGCAGCTGGTTAATGCTATGAGACAAAATATCACATAAAAGAAAAAAGATTCTGCTGAGTGTGTGTGTGTCTGTATGTCTGTGTGTGCATGCATATGTCTTGTTTTTTTTTTTTTTTTTCTTATCTGAATCAAGGATATATGCCTGCCCATTCCCCTGAATTTAAAAGAAGTAAGTCAAATGGTCCTTCAGTTAGAAAAGTGATTTCTTAGCCACCGAGAACAAAATAGCGTCTCGGGTTACCAACCCTGAAGAATGTCTTGGCACATTCCTCCCTCCGGCCTGAGCTGTTTTGTGTGTTGTCCGCCATGGAGGCTGCTGGGGGTAGGGAATCCAGTTTTCAGCTTCCCCTTTCACCAGGGGGTTGGAAGAGCAGCCAGGCAGCCAGCCTTGCCAACTCTCTCCCCTTCTCACCCAGGGGAAGACTGGGAGGCCGAAATTCCTGAGGACGGTTGTCCCAACAACCAGAGAGGGACCAGTGGGCAACTCGGGGCCCTGCCGACTGGGCCAAAGGCTCCGCCAAGCTCCACGGGCTCCTCCCAAGGTCGGGCTGGTCTTAGAGAAGGTGCCAGGTCCATGGGGAATCAGGTGCTGCTGATCTGGCCATGGAGCAAGTACCCCTTCAGCAGAATAACCCCGGGTGCTTACTGAAAGCTTGTCCAGCACTCCTGGTGTATTTAACTTAGTGGTATGCAACAACAAACACACTGATTGTTCTCCGAGGAAGAATGGATTGTTGGAACTGGCGCTGCCAGAGAAGGTTCCTGAAGCCTAATTCCTGCTCCTTGGTGTGTGTTTGGGGGGGGGCGGGGGCGGGGGGACTGTGTTCAGCCTTTCTTCACCTGGGAGCTCTGTGGGAACAGTCTCTGCGCCTGTGTGATCAGGGCTGGAGGCCCACGTGGCTGGCAGGCCTTGTTGAGAGAACCCAGCAACTTCTCTCATGATATGCAGAGGAATTTTTGCCAACCCTGTTATTACAGGAACAATTCACAGTGTAAGATGTTGGGCTTTACAGCAGGCAAAAGATCTTAATCTCCTTCTGGTCACAGACCCTTAGAAGCTTCCAACAGAGGTTAAGGACGTTTCTCGAAGAAAAGCATGAACAGGGCTTTTGGCACATCTTTTCAGGGGGTTTACCGACCCCAGAGTCATAACCCCTGCCATGGATTAGCTTAGAAACTGCTCATCACTACCTGTATGCCCTCCTGTTTAGCTGAGACACAATGATTGAGCCCTGACTGTATTCAGGCAGTCTGCTGAGCACTTTACATGGAGGATTTCTTTTAATCCCCCTAACAACCCTGGGAGTAGATTATCTACCTGAGAAAGCTCAGGGCTTAGGGGGCCTAAATTTGGAGAAAACCACTCAGCTTCTGAGGAGCTGAGATGTGAATGCCAGGCGTGTCGACTCAGAACCCACATTTCTGGCCACTCAGCTGCCTGGAATCCCTTGCAGAATCAAAACCTCTGCGCTACTGCCTAAGGAATTCAGCCCTGGGGAATGGAGCCCGGACAGGCACGATTTCACTTACCTGCTGCCATTCTGGTGTGGCCAGGCCAGTTATTCAGAGAGCAGTGTAGAAAATGGAAAAAGGGGACTTCCCTGGTGGTCCAGTGGCTAAGGTTCTGCATGTCCACTGCAGGGGTAGTAGGTTCAATCCCTGATTGGGGAACTAAGGTCCCACAAGCCACGTGGTGGGACCAAAAATAAACAAATAGATAAAATTAAAAAACAAAAGAAAATGGAAAGAGTTTGAATCCTGACATCTTTGATCTGCTGCTTATTACGTGAGTGACCTTGACAAGTTATGTATTCTCTCAGCCTCAGTTTTGTCTTCTTTAGGATGGAATGGTATACATCAGCTGTCAAGAGGCATTATGAGCATGAGATAAGTTAAATTGGGCAGGGAAACTATCACAGAGCCTCATGTAACAGTAGACACTTGGGAATGTCAAATCTTTTAGCTTTTACAAGGAGGTCAGTAAAGAATCTGCCCACAATACAGGATCTTCCAGAGTCAGGAAGATCCCCTGAAGAAGGGAAAGGCAACCCACTCCAGTATTCTTGCCTGGGAAATCCCATGGACAGAGGAACCCAGTCAATGGGCTGACAGAGAGTCGGACTGACTAAGCGACTAACACTTTCACCTAGAAAATACTTAAGTCAAATGGAGACCAAGTCCCCATCCAGTTCTGTTCAGTTCAGTTCAGTCACTCAGTCGTGTCTGA